GTGTTGGATTTGGATGAGACATTAGTTCATTCATCGTTCAAGTACTTACGTACTGCAGACTTCGTGATACCAGTTGAGATCGACAACCAGGTCCATCACGTCTATGTTATTAAGAGGCCTGGGGTTGACGAGTTTTTGGAAAAAGTAGGAAGATGGTTTGAAGTCGTGGTGTTCACAGCGTCTGTACAGAAATACGGCGATCCCTTGTTGGATAAGTTAGATATATATAATTCTGTGCACCATAGATTATTCAGAGATTCGTGCTACAACTACCAGGGAAACTTTATTAAAAATTTATCGCAGTTGGGAAGACCCTTAACTGACTCGATAATCATTGACAATTCACCTGCCTCGTACATTTTCCATCCACAACACTCTATCCCAATCTCAAGTTGGTTCAGTGACACACATGATAACGAATTGCTTGACTTATTGCCGTTTTTGGAAGATATCTCGAAATCCAATGTTGATGATGTGGGTTTGGTATTAGATATTTCTTTATAAAAGACTGTATCTACTTTATCATTACATATTATGCAGCTTTTAACAATGCTGACTTAGGTTCTTTGTTATAAAAGTATAGAAATTCCGGACCTATTAATAAACATAAGCAGGACTTATGATTAATCTACAAATGCTGCTAATATGTGAATATTTCACTAATTTCTATGTCAAAATAATTTCTTATCATTATCATTATTATTATTATTATATCACCTTTCCAATTGCAATTACATTTGTTATAGAAGGATAGAAACTAATTTGAAAGTACTGAAATTGCGGTTGTATCATTTATAATATACTATTACTAGTATTATTATTACTAGAACTACTGGTACTATTACAAGTACCGTTCCAGCCACTAGTATTACTGAATATTTAGGGTTATATAAATATGCTTAGCTGTATCACTTAATAAATAATTTAATCATCTTATTCACTATATAAATTTATTGTAATTTGCGCGATGGTTATAATCTCATCACAAAATTTTTTCTATAGTTACATGGTTTGATTCATTAATTTAGACTTATTTGCTATAGACTATACATAAACACCATGAAGATAAAGACTATAAGCAGATCATCGGACACATATGTGCCTGTGAGAAATACTCAGGAATCTTCCCTTCCTAGAAATTTAAATCCAGCATTGCATCCATTTGAAAGAGCAAGAGAATATACAAAGGCTTTAACAGCCACCAAAATGGAGAGGATGTTTGCCCAACCATTTGTAGGACAGTTGGGAGATGGTCATAGAGATGGAATTTACTCGATAGCCAGAAATTTCTCTACTACAAATCAAATAGCGACTGGTTCTGGTGATGGGGTTATAAAATACTGGGACATGACCCTGCGGGATGAAGTGATAAGTTTTAAAGCTCATTATGGAATGGTGAGTGGTTTATGTGTTACTCCAAATACTAGCCATATGTTATCATGTGGTGACGACAAGACAGTTAAGTTATGGTCCGTCAGCAAGGATGACTTTGATGCTAGCCAAACCGATACAGAGGTTTACACGAAGAAGGATAATGGATTAGTCAAGACGTTCTTGGGGGAGCATTCATTCAAGGGTATTGATCATCATAATAATGACGACTTATTCGTTACTGGTGGTGCATCGATTCAATTATGGGACATGAACAGATCTAAATATATTTCTAATTTATCGTGGGGGGCTGATAACATAAATACCGTGAAGTTCAATAGAACTGAAACCAATATCATTGCATCTGCTGGTTCTGATAATTCTATTGTATTGTATGATGTCCGTACCAATTCTCCCATTCAAAAAGTTGTCACCAGCTTAAGAACCAACTCTATTTCCTGGAACCCAATGGAAGCATATAATTTCGCAAGTGCCTGTGACGATCATAACGCCTACTTATGGGACATGAGAAAGTTGAATAGATCCTTGAATGTGTACAAGGACCATGTGGCTGCTGTCATGGATGTTGATTTCTCTCCTACTGGTGAGGAATTGGTAACCGGTTCCTACGACAAAACCTTGCGTATTTTCCGTGCCAGAGAAGGTCATCTGAGAGAAATATACCACACCCAGAGAATGCAGCGTGTATTCAGCGTCAAGTTCACCACTGATGCTCGTTACATATTGAGTGGTTCCGATGACGCAAATGTGAGATTATGGAGAGCCGTGGCTTCCGACAGATCGAACATCAAGTCGGCAAGACAAAGATCCAAGCTCGAATATGATGCTGCTTTGAAAGAAAGATTCAAGCATATGCCAGAAATCAAGAGAATCGCAAGACACCGTCATGTTCCGAAGGTTGTCAAGAAAGCTAATGAGATTAAGAGGACTGAAATTGATGCTTTGAAGAAAAGAGAAGATAATGAAAGAAGGCATTCCAAACCAGGTTCCAAGCCTTTCGTCTCTGAGAGAGAAAAACATATCAGGGGTACTGCTATCAAGGATAATAAGTAGTTTTATATATTTCATCTAATAGTATAATGTATCTGCACGTGATGTAATTATGGTCAAATTAAATTGCGGGAAATTCATTATCGGAGTTACCAGAGATATAGTATAAGAGACTAATCCTAAGTGAATAGAAATATTACTAGAGTAAAAGATTGTAAATATATGAAACTGATTGAGATAGGATTGAGGTATTGAAATTAAGGAAAAGTATCAGAAGAAGAAGATAATTCAAGATACTTGATTATTTAATGAACAGTGTGCAAAAGTGCATAATTAAAATACAACGATATCAAGCAGTATTCTAGTGATAGAAATTCAGTTATCAAAGTTGGGTTGGAATAGACATAGTAATATTAGTGTCCGGAGAGAGGTTAAAAAATTTAAATTTGAATAGAGAAGGGAATTATTAGTCGATAAATATGCCGGATAGACACAAGCTTAAGCTATTTTCACATTTTAAACATCCATCGCAGGATGATTTGTCACCATCGACGTCGAATCAGTCACATGCTGGAGGACGTAAGATTTTGGGAATCCATTTGGGAAAACATGATTCTGTTGAATCTTTAAGTTCACCAACATTGACAAATTCATCGGAGCATCATACTAGTAATACGGTTAATTCTTCTCAGCCACAGATACATACCAATGCGTCAAAAGATGATCCAAATCATACTTTTATGAAAGCGAACTCAATGGTGGAATTGAAGCGGTTTTTCAAGCCGGGGAGAAAGAATTCAGTATCCAAGAAAAACGAACAGAAGACTTACAATAACCAATTGCATTCTCCGCCGGCTATTGCTGGAGCAAATAATAACACTACGAAGGATTTATCATCGACGGCTCTTGCGACGTTAATCAACCAAACTTCGACGCATTTGCTTAACAATGCGTCACATGTAAGTACTCTGAATAAAGATCCATTTACTGATGATGAATCTACATTGGTTAGCAAATACGGTAAACTAGGTAAGGAACTAGGCAGTGGTGCTGGTGGTTCAGTTCGTCTCATTATCCGTCCTTCTGACTCTAAGACATTTGCGGTGAAGGAATTTAGACCTCGTAGAAATACGGAATCTTTGAAAGATTATACAAGAAAATGTACAGCAGAATATTGTATTGGATCTACATTGAAAAACCCTAATATAATTAAAACCATTGATATCTTGCATGAAAATAATAGATACTTTGAAATTATGGAGTATGCACCAATTGATTTCTTTGCTGTTGTTATGAGTGGAAAAATGTCTAGACATGAGATCAATTGTTGTTTAAAACAGATTTTAACAGGTGTGAGCTACATACATTCATTGGGATTGGCTCACAGAGATTTGAAATTGGATAACTGTGTTTTAACAAACGATGGTATTTTGAAGATCATTGATTTTGGTAGTGCAGTAATATTTAGATATCCTTATGACCAACATGGTAACCAGAAAGATAGTGTTCATCCATGCCATGGGATTGTTGGTTCCGATCCTTATTTAGCACCTGAAGTGTTGAAGCATTCCAACTCTTATAATCCGCAACCAGTGGATTTGTGGTCTATTGCCATTATATATTGTTGTATGACGTTGAAGAGATTTCCGTGGAAGATTCCTAATGGGGATAAAGATAACAGTTTCAAGTTGTATTCTATGGAAGATGACAATTGGCATGATTACGAGTTGAGTAATGAGTGTCATAAGCTATTATTACAACAACGTAAATTGAAGAATATGATTGCAAGACTGAACAGAAAAAAGAAGGCACTAGAAGAGGAAAACGCAGAGGAAGGTTTTGCTGAGGCTACTCCGCAGGAGAATGACCAAAAACCAGGGGAAGATGATATGAGAGACGATACTAAAGAAGCTTCGAATGATGCATCCGAAGAAAAGAATTTGGATGATATAGAGGTTTTAACAGAAGAAAGAATTCAAGATATACTCGCCCAATTAAAGGCAATTGATGAGAAGTTAGAGCAATATGAAGCTAAAAAGAATGAAATGAAATTAAAATTCAATGAAGTTAAGCAAGAAAAGCAAATTGTATCTCGCCAAGAGCATGATAACGCAGAGATCAATCAGAATACAAGTAATTCGGAGAAAGATAGAGATTCGTCGTCTCATCATGGCAAGAAGAAACAATCTCATAAACAAATTCACGGCCCTTATAGATTAATGAGATTATTGCCTCATGCATCCAGACCTATAATACGTAAGATGCTTCAAATTGACCCGCATAAAAGAGCTACGTTAGAAGAGATTATGGGAGACGAATTTATTAGGGAGATTAAATGTTGTACCTTAAAAAAGTTCATCAATACTAACGATGATGGAGTTCCTTGTACTGAGGAGGAAGAAGAAATTGCAGTTAAAGGCACTCCTGCTCATGAACATACTCTTGTATCAGATAACGGTGAAGTAATTAATGCATAGTATTAAATAGTTTAATGAATAATGTTAAATTGCATCGTATAAGGCACGTGATTTTTATAGACACTATAGATATGAAAAGGAGGTTTAATAGTGTAGTAATATAACGTTTTTATAGAGCCATTACTACCAACTATATAAACCATGCCATCACATCTGCCGACACCTCTCAATCAAACGAAGTTGAAGACTTCATTGAAGATGGCAGTTAGTAAACTCAAGTTTATTCAAGACAAAAAAACTGCATTGACTAAACAACAAAGACGCCAATTAGCAGATCTATTAAATCAGGGGAAAGAATCGAGTGCTAAGATTAGAGTGGAAAACATCATACGCGATGACATATACATCGAATTACTTGAATTCTTGGAATTGTACTGTGAGCTATTACTTGCGAGGATATCTATTATACTAGATCAGTCCAGAACTACTTGTGACCCAGGATTAAAAGAAGCCGTGCATTCAATAATATATTCTGCTCCCAGCACGGAGTTGAAGGAATTGACCACGATACGGGATATGTTGGTGTTGAAGTATGGGGTTGAATTTGGAAAAAATGCTATGAACAACGAGGATGGGGCAGTTCCCCAAAAAATCGTAACTAGATGCCAAATAGAGGCACCATCCGAAACATTGGTAAATTTGTATTTATGTGAAATTGCAAGGGCTTACCAGGCTCCATACTCTGGAATGAAGGACTTGGAGCCTTTAGACGTAGAAAATGCATTGGACGGAGATGATGACCTAGACGACGATAAAGATGATGACGAGCCAAGTGGTGGCGAAGCTTTGCGAAATGAACTAGAAGCAGAGGAACCTATACCTGAGAAAATACCAGAACCTAAGCCAAAGAAGAAGGCTGCAACTGCAGCTCCTCGTACGGAACAGAATGATTTTGATTCGTTGAAAGCACGCTTTGCTGCTTTGAAAGGAGGTCCCAAATAATTTACATAGTATTTACAATCTTATACTACAAATCCTTTGAATTATTATTACGTATTGTTAGTGATGAGAGAGTTATATATTGTGTTGTAGTCGTAGAATTAATGATTTAATGATCTATGTGCGACCCGAAATTTTGGTAAATAAACCGAATCCTATGTTTTGAAGCGATTTAACAACAGATTATAGCTGCATATATTATGCTTCAACCGCAGATATTGACCGCGAGGCAACAGCAAGAGTTGAATAAAGCAATTATTCAGTATATAAAGCCTATAGCTGAAGAAGCAAATGATGGTGATTTAATCCAAAAACTTTCAGAGAGTTTAGATGTTCCGCTAGGCTCTATTGATGACAGTGTTATTCCTAACTATCTAGAAAAGAAATGGTCGACAGTGCTAAGACTACAACACAAGATTATTGATTTAGAGGGCGAAGTAAGTAACTTGAGGACAGTTATTGATTCACAACAAATAGTTCCATCAGCATCAGCATCTATTATTGGTAAAGATAAGATTAATTGGTTACCTAGCTCATCTATAAAAGCTTTCAAAACGCAGTCTCATCAGTTGGTACAATCTGTATCGATTCACCCGACTCTTCCAATAATACTTGGGGGGTGTTCCGATGGTTCACTCATTATATGGAATTTGGTTAATGATGAATCTTTAATTCCTGAGAAGATAATTAAAGCGCATATAAGAGGTGTGAACACCATAGCTTGGTCCAAGAAGCCGGTAGATTTATCAGGCAAAGGAAGCGAAGCCAAAAGCATTGCTCATATTATCGCAACTTGTTCCTCGGACTTATCAATTAAGATTTGGGATGGAGCTACATTTAAGCATATAAGAACTTTAACAGGACATGAACATACCATTTCATCTATAGTATTTTCAGCTTCAAAACCTAATATTCTTTATTCAGTGTCTCGTGACAAATCTGTTAAAGTATGGGATTTAGTGAATGGATATTGCATCAAGACTTTCATTGGCCATAGTGATTGGGTTAGGGATATCGATGTCATTAGTGTTAATTCAAATCTCTTACAAGAGCAACTGGATATTAATCCAGAACTAGGTGACTTTTTAGTTACTTGCTCCAATGATCAATCAATCAGGTTATCGCATGCGGAATCGGGAACCGGTTTATCACTTTCAATTGGACATACTCATGTAATTGAATGCGTTAAGTTTTTGCCGTTCCACTCAAACCATATCATAGACAAGTACATTCAAGAAAACGAATCGCTTTTTCCAAATATATCGCCAGAGGTTCTCAATGACCAAAATTATGCAAATTCATTGGGATATAAGTACTGTATATCTGGTGGCCGTGACAATAGTGTTAAATTATGGCTTTTACCACCCCCAGTTTTCAGACCTCATAGACACCCTCTTCCTTCTCAATTAAATAATTCCCAGGGGTGGTTGATTGCAGATTTAGTAGGCCACCAATCATGGGTTAAATCATTAAATATACACCCCAATGGAAGATTTGTATTCAGTGGGAGTGATGATAAAACGATTAAGATCTGGGATCTTGCCAGTTTGAATGTTAACGGTAGGGTTAAGTGTGTGAAAAACTTAATTGGTCATGAAGGCTTCGTAAATGATATAGAGTTTGCAAGTTTTGAAACTACCAGAAATATCCATGTTTCGAAGACAGCGGACAATGGTAAAGCAAAGACAGAGGAAGATAGACGCAACGAATTAATGAAATCAATAGAGTCCAGAATTAGGTGCTTGTTTATAAGTGGAGGAGTGGACAATTGCGTAAGATTATGGAGTTGATTATGGAGTTGAGAACTTGTATTTTTATTGTATAGTTAGATAAGACTTCACTGGGGAAACTATTTAGTTTTAATTATATATTGTGAAGGTGCTCGTTGGGCCCATTCAGTCCAACTTCCATTATAGACACGTATTGGGATATTACATTGAATAACTGATTCCAAGGCTAATCTTAATATGACTGCCGTAACTCCAGTTCCACACATAACAATTATTTTCTTACCATTCGTGGCGTTTGATTTAGAAAAATCTATGTCAAATTCCTGTTTAAAAAGATCGATCAATTCTTCTTTGCTCTTATAAGTGTTATCAGATTGACTGAGAACTTTAGAAAATGGTAACGATAATGAAGATGGAATGTGACCCGATGATAAGCCAGGTCTAGGTTCAGGGGACGCTCCTGAAAACCTATCTGAGGAACGAGCATCAAAAGTGACATATTCTTTATCTAATTTACCACTTTCAACTAGTTCGAGTAGTTCTTCATAATCTATAACCTGGTTTCTATAATTCTCTTTGACATCGTCTTCAGAAATTGGCTCGTATTGTGGGACATCTGAATCCGAACTTGGAGTGCTTAATGATGTAATTTTTTTTGTCTCCAACGGATATTCATACTTCTTATAGATATTATAGTTATCCAAAAGATAAACCTTACGATGGCCATGAAGTGATAAGTTCCAAGCGGCCCTGGGACTTGAAAATATACCACTCTTGTCATATACCACTAATGTATCACTCCTGCGAATCCCTAAATCGGACATAGATTTATTAAATATGTCATATGGAGGCAACATATGAGGATATTGTGAATTAGGGAGACAAATAGAGTCAAGATCAAAGAATGCTGCCGACTTAATACGGTCCTCATTCAAGAATTGATCTTTCCCGTTTAACGGGGAATTAGGCATATACCATGAGGCATCAATTGGAATTACTCGGGATTGACTGGATGAACTCGACAACAACGCCCTAAAACCAGAGGGTGAAACAATTCTTATGACTTTAGTTGACATATTTTCCTTAAGCTCTGGAGAATCAATTGATTTGTTTACGTACATATCCATCAACTAAGGAGTCGGATCATTGTGGATTCAATCGTGTTCAACACGTGAAGCCTAAATGGATAAGCGAAAAGCTGCAAAATTCTGTCAATGTATATATTATGGCCGTACTTATAGTATTTATTCTACAACATTAAGGTTCTCACTTAGACGAGACGTATCCGCCTTCATAAATTCTCTCAAAGCCATAGTAGCATAGGAACTTACACCCAATTGCATTCTTAATACAACTGCTTTCTTGTCGGCATCTGCATTACTAGATTCAATGACTCGGCTAATATCTGGAATAGGCTCTCCCTTCGATTCAGCTTCTTTCTTTAAGTGCAAGATTTCCAAATCGGTTCTAACTAAAGATTCAGTTGATTCACTGTAGTTGACAATATCGTATGACAAATTAGTTGGTTTACCCATAATAGGCCTATACGAACCAGCTAATGAAAATTCTCTCACTCTTCTAGCCATGTTGTGAGGATCCAAACCATCTTTGGCCATAGCATCTATATATACTTGCTCTAATTGCTTGTTAGCAGGATAAACGATATCGAAACCTGGAGTTGGTAAAACAACGTCGTAAATTGTGTATTTACCACTTTCGACCTCTTCTTTACTTAGAGGTCTGGCCCTAATGTATTTGTCCGTTGCTACGTCTTCCTCAAATTCATCATCATCCTCTAAATTAGCCCCAGTTTTAATTTCTTTATCAACAAGAACTAAGTCTCCTTCTTGTACTTCTAAACCAAATAACTCAAATCTTTTGGAAACGACTAAATTCCAAATGTATGATTGATATGCATGGGCATACATAATTCTCAAATTTCTTGGAATAGCCATGATACTCTTGAAGTATGATTGCTTGCCGAATTTGTCTTCGTCATCATAAGGCTCTTTATCCAAAGTAGTCAAAATGGCATGCTCAGCAGTACAACGACGTGGCATCTTTTTGAGGGCCATCGAAGCATTAGCAGTTTCCGCCCAGATACGTCTTGCCTCAATAGAATCGGGAGCTACAATCTCTTGTTCAGACAAAATTAACTCGACAGCTCCTTTCCAATCTTCCTTTAAAATGTAAATACCAAGAACATGCGTGGATATCGAAAACGTCCCAAATCTTTGCATACCATAATAATTGATATAACCCTTGTCTTTTAAAGAAGTGAAACATTTTGAAACTACGTCTTCAACATTTTCTTCTGGATTAAATGATTTAATGTCCCTGATTGTGATTACGAATTCATTACCGTTTAAATCACCCAAGCCTAATGATTTGTCTTCATAAGCAAATCCTCCTAACACAGCATTCTTCAAACCCTTATTCAAGGAACTGACTCTGGCAACCTTACCACGATGGATGCAAAATCTCTGACAAGTAATTCCTCTTCTATCTTTAGTACCAGCGTATCTGATACTCTTCGAAGGAATACGCAAAAATTTTGAAATAGTAGAAGCCACTTCCATAGTTTCTCTATTTTCTTTGTATACAGTGAAATGCAAGAAATATTTAAATGGGCCCAAACCATAGTTTACAACTCCATTTTCATCAACATGATTAATACTCTCTTGAGGATTCTTTCTTCTTGGGTTCTTTGAGTTTTTAGCTAATGCGATTCTAAACGTATTTTCTGCTGAAGTGACACTTTCCAATTTACCTTGAAATGATTCACGAAGTAATTGGTGTAATTTCCCACGGGTTTGCTTTTCCGGAAAACTCGTTTTGGTTTCCATATTATTACCCGTCGTGAACAACTCTTCAATTTGCTTTAATTCATCATCTGTAATTAACTCTAATAAAGCTGCACGATTTTCATCGGTTAGCTCGTACTTTGATTGAGAATCTTCAGTATTCTTAGTCTCTTCCTCAGCCTTTTTAGCCTCCTTAATTTGCTCAATTTCTTCAGGAGTTTTGTTTTGCAAATCAGCTCTCTCCAGCTGTCTCTTTTCAAGTTTTTTCTCTTTTCTTGTCTTTCCAAGATTGACACCTTCATCTAACAAACGCACAACTTCGCCATTAAGATCAATTTCATTAACAAGAAAATCAGAATACCTTTGTTTAATCGTACCGAAAAACCCACCACCGGTTCTATTGGCTTCGTTAATATATTGGGTTATACCAACTTCATTTTCCTGAACAACTTTAGTAGCTCTAATTTGCTGATCAAGTTTCAATTTTTTAGAAGGATCGACAGATTCGTCTATGTTTCTTTTTACGGGATTTACCTCTTCCATAATTGATTTACACCTCGCTTTAAAAATCTTGGGAATCAATCTATGTGGTACCGAGAATATTTATTTCTTAAGTCTATACATGAACTATTGATTGATAAATAATTTATAAATATTTAATTTTTCTAAGTTGGATTTGAATTTTTCATCTCATCGAATTCTGCAATACAAATAATACCACTAAAGTTTACCGAAATTATTAAATTAGAGAAATATATCCGTTGGCTTGGTTTATATAGGTCTGAAATATTCAATGAATTAATATACATTATAAGACATGTCAACGTTAGTAATTTACTATATTATGGTGTATGTACGGTGCTAATATTATCTGACTATTTCCTATTGCCGCAAATTAAAGTCACAAATCCAATATCAAATATATATATATATAACTACTTTTTTCATTAAATATTGTATATTATATTACTCTAGGAAACGTATTGCTTATAAATTTTGCTAAATCGATTGCTTTTTTTGAACATTTTATACCATATGTTTAAAAAGTTGGCCCCCATCGAGGCCCTTTCTATCAACAAGGCAAGTCCTCAAAATCGGTTACAGTTGACCCACATTAAAGATTCTCCTACATTAGATAACGAAACTAAAAGTTCCAGGATTACTTCATTAACAAGCATGTGGAGCGACCATACTTATTCTGAGAAGAATGAGAAGGTTGGTATCAGGAGACTCGCAAGAGCCTGTACCAAATCGTTGAGTCAATGGAATAGTGGAGTTCTTAATTCGGAAGACGAACGAAACGACTTATCTACTCGTTACTCAAGAAATAGCTATTTGTCTAACCGTTCACTTCTTGAAGCAGATTATAAGAAGCTTGCTCATGTGGAAAAAAAACATGAAAATGAACTAGAACTCAGAAGATTGAGGAAGCTTCATTTTGATAGACCTACTTCCACAGGGGACTCAATAGGCAGACAACAGAGAAAGGCTTTGGGTATCTCTAAACCCTCATTAGAGAATATTGCCAACAATTCAGTAAGGGAACTGAAATCTGATGTTAATAAGACATCCAGGAAACCCCTGGATTTATTCCAACCCAAGAGAGTAGTAGTTATTAAAGACGTAATTACAGCCTGTGGTGCTAGGAGTATTGTTTCGCAAATATGCGGTGGACCATTGGAACGGATAGTATTCCATGAACATAAAAAAGGCTTAATGATGGAACTATACTTTATCTTTCCGGAACACGCCAAAAATTTCTATAACTTTGGTTCAAATACAGGCTTATTAATTTTAAACGGGGAACGCTTGTCTTTGGAATGGGCCAACAGAACTAATACAAATGAAGTTGAACATTGTCACCCATTCGTTCCAAAATATTTGATGCACGAAATTAATTATTATGGAGCCAGAAGATGCTTGATTTTCTCTAAAACCGTACCAGATAAGTTAACTAGACGTTCACATACAATGCATTATCCATCTCCAAGAACACATTTATCGAGGGACCTCGATATTGAGGAGGTTAGGAAGGATTTCGCAGCCTTTGGTGAAATAATTGATATTGCATCTGTAATATCAAGAAAACTCTGTTTCTGTTTACATTTTGCAGATATTAGATCAGCCATATTAGCTAAAAAGGAATGTGAACTTGAAGGTAGTTTATTCAACTCGAAATATAATAATTGGTCAATTTGGTATGGAAAGGATCCAACGGATAAACCCTGCCTTTCAGTGTAGATCTCATCAAATTCTCTAAATATAATATACGTTATCAGCTTTTTAAATATATAATTACAATTAGGATCACATAGACTGCTAAAGTCTAGTTCAGAAGGATTATAGATTAGATGAAGTGTAAAGTTTAGGCATTTAGTAGACGACGCTATTAGGCTTCCTAATGCGGAATAATTGTAAACATTTGACAATTTTAAAATACGATTTGAATTAAGGACAAAACACCAAAACTAATATTTTATTTTTTTTACAACAAGCCCACTATAATCGAAGTTACATAGAGATGTCTCAACAGAGAACGCCATTGAGGTCAAGGTCATCGTTGGCCAATTTCTCTACAGCCGGAATGTCGACACCACTGCAACAAACAACAAAACCTCGCGCTACCCTTACAGAGTTAAGAAGACCACCATCTTCACGGACAATGAGACCAGCGTCTCCTAGAATGACCACAACGAGGTCAAGGCCAAGCTCGGCTATGGGGAATTTATCTAGTGGTAGTAGTAGGCCAACTACACCTTCATTTGTCAAACAAGTGCCATATACTGGAACTATTACAGTTTCGATTAGGCCAAATCCCCATAGTTTCAATCCAGCACATTCTCCCTGGGAAATTGAGCAATATTCAAATACAATTAATAACAGATCGGACTCTGTCTCATATAGTTTTGACAATGTGTTTCCACCAGAGTCTGCATTAACTAACAGAGAGGTTTATTATAAATCATGCTCTCCCATAGTCAATAAGTTCCTCAATGAAGGATTTAACGGAACTATATTTGCATACGGGATGACAGGATCTGGTAAGACATTTTCAATGAAGGGAAGCGATCAAGATCCAGGGTTTGTTAAATTATCTATTGACGATATTTTCAGCAAGATTGAAAATGACAGAGGAAACAAGCAATTCAGTATCAGTATAACTTACTTGGAGATATATAATGAAAAAATAGTAGATTTGTTGAATACGTCGTATTCAGCGGAACTTAAGATTAGAGATGATCCCGTGTATGGTACCAAAATTGTTGGTATTACGTCTCCGATCATAAGCTCCAAAGAACAGCTTTTACTGTTAATCAAGAAAGGTGATAATAATAGAAAGACTAGTGCAACTGATTTTAATGCAAGATCTTCGAGATCGCACTCCATCTTACAAATTAAATTAAACACCATTGATTTGCTTAATAGTACAGAGCAAAACTCAACACTATCATTATGTGATTTAGCAGGGTCAGAAAGAGCTACATCAAGCTTAGAGAGGAGAAAAGAAGGTTCGTACATCAATAAATCTTTATTGGCATTGTCAACAGTTATTAATAAGTTATCACTCTCGTCGTCTGGGTTAAGTTCACCAAATACGGGTAATGATCACATACCTTACAGGGACTCAAAATTAACAAGGTTATTACAACCTGCATTATCTGGATCCTCGTTAGTACTGATATTATGTACAATTCATTTAGGATCACTTAATTCGGTCCACAGTCAACAGTTTATATCGGAAACATATAATACTTTGAGATTTGCAGCAAGAGCAAAAGACATAGTGATTAACGTCAACAAAAATCAACAATCATCCATAGGTGGGGCTGAAACAGCTAGACTTATAGAAGAATTAAAGAAGACTATTGAAAACCAGAAAAACGAAATTTCCATGTTAAAATTACATTCTAGTGATGATACAAATATGGATAATAATTCTGCCATACTAGAGAAAAACATGAAGATTGCACAGGTGGTAGCCGAAAACCAAATATTAACAGAGAAATTAGAACATCTTACTAGATTAAATGATTTACAGAAGACAGAAACAATAATATTACGAAATGATACTTTGAATGATTTGCTTGGAACAGGTATCGATAATCTGTTGCTGCAAGTGATGATGGCTAACTTGGAAGAGTTTTATAAAAGGGTAAATTATGAAATAGATGAATGCAAATCGTATATTGGTCATTTAGAGAACCAGTTGAAGGTATCACATCAACAAAATGCATTCAAGAATGATTCTAATAACGGTGCGAAAGAGCACCTGGATAAACATATGGATGCGGTATTAAAAGACCAAGAAGAAGAAATTCTCCACTTGAAAGAGCTATTAAAGGATAAAGACCATGTCATTAAGAGTCTTACAAAAACGACTAAATTACGTAAGTTGATTGATTCAAACTATAACGATGAAAATAAACAATCTAATATTATTAATGATTCCAGTGATAAGGAAAATTTCTCGGATTTAAAAGAATTCAATATAAATCTGAAGAAACCACATGTTAGTTTAGATATTTATTAATGTAAAACTGTACAATACAAAACGAACGAACGAATTTAATATACAATATAATATTAACAACAGAAATATAAAAATTTTAAACATCTATAATTCGTATCTAAAGCTAGGATTTTCTTTATCAGTTAAGTCTGCAAACTCATGGTTTTGAATGTTTTCAAATTCTTCGTTTTTACCTAATTTTTCTCTCTTCTTATTATCAAAAGCATAAACGAGCCAAATTATAATAAGTACAATTAATGAAGCAAATCCGTTAACCACGATAGATATTTTAGCTCCAGTATAAGCGGGAGCTTGAGTATCAATGAATGTTTGAGGCCCAATAAGGTTACCAACACAGTAACCAACCAAGAAAATAGCATTTGTAGTAACCTTCTTTGTATGGCCTGCCACGTTAGAAGAGATGATAGATAATACACAAATAAACCCAATCGGAGAAAACGTATAGAGTGTAAACCCAGCATATTGAACTTTTTCTTGACTTGAAAATGCCAACATGCATTCTGATATGACGACAATGACAGTACCAGCTATAGCCCAAAACATACGATAAGGAAAGTAAAGTACACCGCACGCAAACAAAGTACAGCCAACAATCTCAGTTGCACCCTGAGGCATTTGCATCAACAATGCTTGAGATGGTGAGTAACCCATACCAGTTAACAAAATACTACCAAAATTAGTTATACCTCCATTAGGAATATTATTGGCAATTGCAAACAAAAAGAATAACCAGGTTTTAATATCTGTAATTGCTTCTATAAACTGATGCTTTTTAAAGTGCTTGTTACCAAACCCTTGCTGATTTGACCTGATTCTCTCTACAACAAGCACTTTTTCTTCTTCGGTAAGGAACCACGCCTGCGTTGGTGTATCAGGGAGATGGAACATGACAACAAAACCTAAGAAAATTGTTAAGCAGCCTGTGATAACGAAAATCAATTTCCAAGCGTCCATGGAATACGAACCATCATTCATATAAACATTATATGCAATGGCCCCAGATCCAAGTATC